GGTGGGGGGGGGGGGGGGGGAAGGGGCAGAACAGGAGGCTGGGGCCCAGGGCCTGTTCTCTATCCCTCGGCACTGCAGCCAAGGGCAAGGAGGGAGGAAAATGGTTTGGGGTAGGGGTCTACTTACCAGTGTGCTGGCAGGCAAGATAGCGGAGCTCCAGCCCAGATGGATACTCCCTTGGTGGTATGGCTGTCCCCAGTGGACAGTCTCATATCACATCGCTCCTAACAGCAGCCCTTCCCTATGCATGTTATGGAAAACTGTCCCATGGTCCTAGCACAACCAAACCCTGACCTTGCTTTAAATCAGAAGAGGGAGCTACAAATTTGGTGACCTAGCTCTTACTGTTTAGGAGGAGTTCTTGAACAAATAGATTCACAGAAAGACACAAAGACAGATGCACTCTGAAATACAAAGCCCTTTTACATCTGCACTTGAAAGGGAATCCTCTGAACTGTCATTCATGCTAAAATTCAACACTCTCCGGGGGGGATTGAACAAAGACACCAACTATCTTACCCATTACAAAGATAGCTTCCCCAATTATCACCTCTAATACCATTAGCTCACAGACATCTACCCTTCCCCATATCATTAACTCACGGACCTTCCGTCCGTCCCCCCTGCATCCCCCTTCTGTTCTGAAATGTGATTTGTCCTTTTCATATGTGTTCATTTTTTTAATTGTATCCTTTGGTATATATGGTTGTGACTATTTTCTTCCACTATTTGATCTGAGGAAGCGGGTCTGGCCCATGAAAGCTCATCATCTAATAAACCATCTTGTTAGTCTTTAAAGTGCTACATAGTCCTGCATTTTGCTTCTAAAATATATATATTCCTTTCCCCCAGGCCACCCTGCCAGTCTGCCCAGGGCCTGTTCCCTCCCTACCCAGGGCAAGCCCCCGGCAGCCAGGGACCCATTCTCTCCTCCATCTGGTGCTGTGGCCAAGGGCTGAGAGAGGGAAAAAGGTTTGGGTCAGAGGAGCTACTTACCAGTGTGTTGGCAGGCAAGATGGCAGAGCCCCAGCCTGCTGGCCACATACTTGGTGGTATGGCTGCTCCCAATGGTTTCTCTGCAATATAGCTCTTCCCTGCAGACTCATTGCTTCCAGTGGCCACTCTCATACCACATTCCCCTGAACAGCAGCCCTTTCTTCTGCATGTTATGGAAAACTGTCCCTTTCCTGGGGCTTCCTATATTCCTGGCACAACCAAACCTTGACCTTGCTTTAAATCAGGAGAAGAGGAAGCTGCATTCCAAATTTGGTGGTCCTAGCTCTTACCACTCAGGAGATGTTCCCAAACACATGGACTCACAGATAGACAAACCCTAATATATATAAATATACAGAGATTTTTGATAATACACATGTAGAAATGTTATATGGGGCCAAAACCTAGCCTCATCCATGAAAAGTTGCTCTTACTGAGGTTAATAAGATCCTCACGGGCACAAAAGGGCAAAATCTGATTCAGACTGCATGATGAAGCCTTTTAATGCACATAAAATATACAGGCAGTCCCCGACTTACGCGGATCCGACTTATGTCGGATCCACAGTTACGAACGGGACTCGCCCCGGAGGACACGGACTGCGGGACCTCTCGGTCCTGCCGCCCGTGTACTCCAGGGCTTTCTCCGTGTCTCCCTGGTCTGCAGACTAGGAAGACGCGGAGCAAAGCCGCGGAGGGGCTCGGGCAGCGGGGCAGCCCAGGCGCACCTGGGCTGC